AAAAAAGGAAAAAAAAAAAAAAAAAAAAAAAAAAAAATATTAGGACCTTGGGGGTTGGTAAGTTGATAGAAAATGAGTCTTATGGATCTTTTCTCCTTAACAACATATTAAAAGAACCACCTCATTGGTTACAACAAAGCAGGCAATCATTTCAACAGTGGTGACTTACAACTCTCCAGCTGCATTGTACAGGTCTGGACATCCATTGGAAAGTTCTTCAAGTCCATGGGACAGGATAAGGTCAAGGTGAGTCTTAGCAAAGAAAAAAAAAATTAAACCAGTTTTAAATCTGTGAGGTTTGATTCTTAAGAAACAAACAAAAATACATTTGGCGTTAAGCAAAGTGACATTGATTCAAATAATGAAATCTAAACTCTCACTCAGGGCAGTGCCTTCTGTTTTCCAAATGAAGAGTAGTCATTGGCAATTTTTTAAATATTGCAGTGTTTCACCATAACCAGAATTCTTTATTTTCTGTCTTCCAGCCTCTGACTACCTCCTCCTTCCAGCAATGGCACTGATCTCAAGTTTATTCTAGAACAAACAAGATCACTGAGAAGTGGCGTAACAAGAACAGTGAGCTCTTACCCTCACTGATGTCCAAAACACATAAGGATTATACTGTTTTAGAATTATACCTTGGATAAGTGAACTTTGCCTCAGGGACAATAAATGAGTGATAAGGATAACTGATTGTGATAAGAATTGGTTCTCCTTTCTTCAAATGTGCAAATACTTAACTCCACAGTTTTTTGTTTGTTTTTATTTACTAACCTACACAGATGAGTTAACATTATATTGTAACATTCATTCTAGAATTTTGACAATTCTACAGCAAGTAGTCCTTGAGCTGAAAAAATCCACTTAAGGTTGGTGATTTGTACATAGTCTTCACCTCTCCACACCCAGCAGGGACTACTGTGCTCCCCTTTCCTTTCCTTAACTTTTCTGAGCTCCAGCCAGCTGCGGCCTAGCCTTATATCAGGATATTCATTGAGCCACCATCTTTTTCCACCGTTTACTTTTCAGTCATCAAAGAGACATTGCACGCCTCTTGCTCTTCAGTGTTTCTATACCTCAGAGACACAAGGAAGGAAATTATAATTGAGAATCAGCAGATCTAGGTTCCCTTCCAGTATTGCCTCAAGCTATCTCTGTCCCTTAAGCAAGATCTTAAACTCACTAAACATTTGTTTCCTCATCAATTAAATGATGAGGTAGAATAAGATGATGCTTATTCCCATATGCCTCTAATACTAGAATCTCTGTTATTCTAAAGTTCACAGCTCCAAGTTGTGTTTATTGTATTTCAAACATCTTTTCTATCCCAAGACCCATCTGCCTCTTGCACTGTTACCTAAACCCTCCTTTTCTGTCATGCTCATTCTCGCTCTCCCCTCCTGGTTGCCTTTTCTTTCCTTTCTCTGCTGCATTCTACATGCTGTTCAAGCAAAAACAAAACCAAAAATCTGTGGCCCACTTATTTTAAAGAAAGAAAAGTTTGGGGATTTGAAGTGAGATTAGACAAAGAATCCAGGCTGATAATATTCAAAGTCATTTAAATACAACAATGATTGGGAAAAGCAATATACAAAACAGTGTGCAGTGTGATCTCAATTATGTAAAAATATGTTTTCAATCTTGGAAATAAACACACCACTGTATTAAAGGTAGATATTTCCGGTTGGTGTGATGATTCATATTTTGTTTTTATTCTTTATTTATTTATTCTGCATTATCTGTGTTGACAAGTATTGCTTATTTGAAAATGTCCATAAAAACTATTTATCAGCTTTCCCGTCTTCATGTCATTAAATGTGCCTTTCTTCAAACAATAGCCAAAAGGTAAAATTCTAAAATTCTATTTTAGTCAGTAATTTTTGCTATTGATATGATTATATTAGTATTACTATTATTAAAATTTTGTCATAAACATACAATATTTCACCTTCACTGCTCAATAAATTAGCTTCTGGTGGCTCTTCTGAGAACTCAAGCACCATGCTTCTAAAGGAAAAAAACGGTTTTGAGTTCTAAATAACTAACTTAAAAATAACATTTTACACAGAAAAAATAATTTTGTCAGTTATGGAGTTTATTTATAGATATAGATATAAATATATACATATTCGGTTGCTTTTTCCCCAGCATAAAGACTTTTTTTTTTTTTTTGAAAACACAATTTTATTGAGATTAATGCCATGAACTCTTTAAAATAATGGCAAAGTCAAAGAACTAAAATGAAAATCTTTTGGGAAAAAAAATCTGATAATTCATTGAAAGGGGAAAAAATTCAAAAGGATTCATGGGCTTAAAATTGTTATTACCATAATGAGGATCTATTTATTCTTTTTTATTTTTTAAAGAGTAAATATTTTCATTAAACAAAAATATGTTTATCCATAACTTGGCTATTGTGAATAGTGCTGCTAAAGGTTACAAAGCCTCAATTAGACAAGAGAGATAAGTTTTTATTTTCTTTGATACATATTGCACAGCATGGTGAATTTAGTAAATAATAATGCATTGTACATTTTAAAATTGCTAAGAGAATAAATTTCAAATGTTCTCACCACAAAAAAACGATAAGTATTTGAAGTAATCAATATGTTAATTAGCTTGATTTAATTATTCCACATTGTATTTATAAATCATCACTTTGTGTGCCATAAATATACACAGCTATAATTTGTCAGTATACAATTAAAACTAAAAATAAAAAATGTCCAACATATGAAAATAATCAGATGGCGTGTGGATAATTTAAGTGAATCAAAAGCAGAAAACTTGGAAATTTCATTATGATTTTGAAAAGTTTTGTTTTGAGAAATTAGAAAATAGTAATAGTGGAAATGAATACAGCTTAAAAGAACATGCAGCATGGAAGTCAACTATATACTGTTTGCTATTGGAAACAACCCAACTTTGATATTCTTAATCATAGGCTTGCTGAATTTGATTCTTTTGAGAAATGAACTTTTCACATTTATTCTGGGAGCAAGGGTCTCACACACAATTATTCCTGACTTTGTGGCAGATGTTAACAATCCTACAGGGACCCAGAATTTTGGGGGTCAAAACTATTAACAGCATGGAAGACCCCACTGAGAAAAATTCCAAATAAACATGAAACTATTTCTGAATCTTCTCTCAGTATTTTCCTTCTTCCTTATTTGGTCTTCTAATTTCCTTTGTATTGGAACCCAATGGGTGCCAATAATGAGGAGAGTTAACAGCTCCTCAGTTTGTTAAATAATGTCATCTGCTGTGCACATGGGAAGAGATTGTAAAGATCTAATCAGTCCCAGAACAGGCCACAGAGCCCATAATTTATGACGTTTAGTTTACCAAACACATTTGAAGGCCTAAAATTTAAGTTTTCCAATTACTTATTTTTCCCTTGAAGTATACATTAAATATAGTAAAATATACACAAATCTTAAATCACAATGCTATGACTTTTTACATCTATATCCACCTGTTTAACAAGCATTCAAATTCAGATTTAGAATATTGCCATCATCCCAGAACGTTCCCTTGTCCTCTCTTTCCAGTCAAAACCCTCCAAAAGTAACTACCACCCCATTTGCTTCTTTAAAAAGTCTTTTTCTGTGTGTGATTTTAAAAACGTGATCCTCAAGGAAAAAAACATGCTTGATACTATTTTGTATAGAGATGCAGAAATTGCCACAAATAAGGCTGAAACATACAATATACTAAAATGTGAACAATTTTTATCTCCTTTGCTCTGACTCTCCACCTGTTTTGGGTGGGTCTCACAGAATTAAGTACTTTTAATTAAAAGCCAGTATTCTTTCAAATTTGCTTGGAACTCAGACTTCTAACAGGCTGACACTGCCTACAGCATGTCAGATTTGCTCTCCTCTTCCCCACAGTCTGAAATACTAAGGCCATTGCACCTGAGGGCAGTGAGCTGAGGCCACCCCTCTTCCTTTTAATTTTTGTTAAAGAACTGATTTCCTGATGTGTTAACACCCATTCCCCCACTTTCAAGGCAACCCATGTGCATTAAGGGCACTCCTGCTCCTGTTTGCAAAGGGAAGGACTAGTTTCCTTACAGAGGCCCTGCTTCTTTACCAAGAGGAAGAAGGCTGAGCAAGCATTCCAATTTTAAAGGCAAAGCATAAAACAAAGAAAAGGAAGTCAGTCTCCCCAAATCTCACCTTTCCTGCCCTTTCCCTTCCTTACTACAGTCCTATGCAGTTCACCTTGCTCATAAAACCAACTCTTGTATTTATACTTTATTTAAATGACTGATAGATGCAGACATTATGAACTGCTTCAGTTACCTTTACAGTTTTTTAAATCAAATATTATAATATTTTTATTTGCTTTTTATCTTTATCCCCTACTATAGTGCAAGATCTACTCTCTTTTATTATCTAAAACAATGCCTGACACAGAGTAGGTATTCAATAAATATTTGTTGAACAAATGAATGAATCAGCATCCTAAAGCTCCATGGGAGAATTTCAGGCTTTTATTCTGCGGGAATGGGAAAGGACAAAGGATTTAGAATGGAAGAGGTTGGACATCAGGGCCCATGGGGTGTTGCCAAATTCCGAGACTGTTGAAGGAAGCCAGCAAAGCCTGCCTGGCCCCCTCTGTAAGTGGCTAGCAGATTCTCACTAGAAATAAGGCGAATCAAGCTGAAGGAAAGCCAAGAAGGTCAGTCCACCTGTCCTCCAGCCTTGGTCAGGTAGCTGAGTTCAGGGCCAGGTCTGTTCTCACACTGCTAGAAGAATACACACACACACACACACACACACACATATGTTGAGCTTATAGAACTAGAGAGTAGAATTGGAGTTACAAAAGCTGGGAAGGAGAAAGGGGAGTGGAGATAGGGAGAGGTTGGTTAATGGATACAAAATTACAGCTAGAGGGGAAAAATAAGTTCTAGCAGTTTACAGTAGTGCTAGGCATCTATAATTAACAATAATTTAACGTATGTTCCCAAATGGTTAGAAGAGAGGAGCTCAAATGGTTACATCACAAAGAAATGATAAATTTTTGCAAAGATGAACATGCTAGTTGCCCTAATTTGATCATCACACATTGTACACATGTATTGACCTATAACTCTATACTCCATAAATATGTACAATCAATATGTGTCAATTAAAAATAAATGAAAAATTTTGAAAAAGAATACAAATTAGTTATTTAACATGACAGCGTTATGGCCAACAAAGGCTCCTTGACTTGTAAGGTAACTACTGATTCATAAG